GACTGCAGGATCTGAAGAAGACCTGCGAAGTAAAGAGATGGATTGGAGCAGGGGTGGGTTTTGGTTGCACGTACGTGAGTTCAATTTCCGAGGTCAGGGAGATTTCTTGTGTCGCGTAAATCTGGATTGAAGCCTCGACGTTCCGACTGCAACCCCCACAGAACCAGGGGCCCTTCTGCCCAGGGCTTTGCACCCTCAGAAAGTCAGTTTCAGTCCGGGATCGCGGATCAAGGCTCGTGGCTCAGGTGCCTCGAAGTCCCAGACCGCTGAAGATCAGAAGACAAGTCAGAAAAGGCTTGTTATCAGGCCAATCAAGGGTGGCATCCAGTGGTTTTGCACTCGGCTGAAGGGAGTAACGTTAGATCTATTTCTGCCTTAGTTACAATTCGCTGTGTGCTGCTAAGGCCGCAGTGCAATGACCAGTGTGGTGACCAGTACAGTGACCAGCTGGAGATGCTCTTTCGAAGGCTCTGTCTGGTCTGTGTTACGCCACTGTGCTTCCAGGAGGTGTGTCTAACTGCTCTGCTTGCAGTAGGGCTCCCCGCTGAGGCGAATGCAGTGATATAGTTGGCCATAGGCAGAAATGCGCCATTACTGGGATTTATCTTTAATTTTTCAGTACTTCAGGTGAATTGCTACGCATATGAATTGTACGCAAATTACAGCAATTCATATGGGCAATAACCATAAAATGAGTACATTGATTGCAGTTTTTACACTGCAGTGCCTTGCTGCAGAATCTGACATTTTAAAGTAGCATTATTTTTTGTAGACAATTGGGGGACATTTAATTCTGACTGTCAAATTGTTGCCGTATGAAAATATATGTAGAAGTAATGGGACACTTTTTTTTTGGCAGTAGCGATAGCTTGAAGTAGCTTAACAAATGCAGGAAAATATAAGGCATCTAAGGGCTGAACAGTGCTGCAATGGTTAGCTTTGCTGCCTCACAGTGCTGGGTTCAGTTCCTGGAGTGCTGTCTGTGTGGAGTTTGCATGTTCTCCCTGTGCTGGTGTGGGTTTCCTGTGGGCGCTCCGGTTTCCTTCTGCAGTCCAAAAACATGCTGGTTGGTTAATTGGCTTCTGGGAATATTGGCCCTGTTGTGAGTTTGTTTGTGTCTGTGAATGTCTGTGGCCTGTGATGGACTGGTGTCCCATCCAGGGTGTACCCTGCCTTGTGCCCGGTGCTTGCTGGGATAGGCTCCAGCTGCCCATGTGATCTTGAATTGGAGGAAGCAGTTAGAAAATGGAGGGACGGGTGGATAAGCCATTTGACAGGGACAGAACAGTCTGCCAATAGTATATTATTGTCTCGGCCAGATTCACCCAAAGTCAAGCGCTCACAAACTGTTCTGTGTTTGGGTTGGCTCTGTTTTGTGCCTGGTGTTGCGTCACGAGCATGTCAGCCCTGAGCCGAGGCTGCTTGCTGAAGTGTGACCGAGCCCACATCAGAGCTACCCCTAAGGAACTCCCTCTCCGAGGACGGAGAGTCGCTCCAGCACAAAATGAGGCCTAGCCGGCTCTCGGGGGGCCGGATTCAGACACATCTGTCCCAGAATCGTGGAGAGGAGGGGAGGGGGCGATCACGCGCACACTGAAGGCCAAAGGAGGCTCTCGCGCTGACTGAGCTCCGCTTGCTGAGGCGTTCCGTGTAATTTAGGCATCTTTCCGTGTCTGGCTTCCTTCTGCTTCCGTTCACAGTCCCCGATCTCTCTCTCTCTCTCTCTCTCTCTCTCCTTATTCCGCTTCCCTGGTAAATCTCTGATGCCCCACTCTCTTTTCCCTCTTTCTAACCCTACTTCCCTGCCCAATTCCTGCTGCCTCCCTCTCTTTCCCTCTGTTCAGCCCCTTACTCTCCTCTTTAAAACCTTAATGAATGTAAATAATACATTGGAAGGAGAGTGCATTAAAAGCATTAAGACACGGGCGACCACACAAGTCAGAAAGTACTGGTTTGAAATCATGCATACATCACTAACAAAGGAGTGCATTCAGTAATTTAGTTCATTTGAGCTAAAATGCATTTGTGGCTCAGTGGTTATTATTTCTGCCTTGTAGTACTGGGGCCCAGTACTACAGTTCTGTCTCCACCTGTTTGTGTGTCCTCCCTGTATTTGCGCGAGGTTGTCCTCCAGGTGCTCTGTCTTCTCCTGCACTTCAGAGACATGTGACCTGTGACCCTTTATTGGACAAGGTGGTTAGAAAATAGCTGGATGGATAAAATGCATTTAATTTCCGTAACGTTTTCTGGTCACAGAATAACATATATCCCAACTGTCCTAAAGTGTGTCACCTCAAATTGCACAGATCCTACAGAGCTGCTATAGACCTGTCAGTACCTCTGTTGCCACTTCTGTCCCACAGTAAGAGAGGCGAGAGGGGCACAATAGTTACTAAAGGAAGCTACTTATTTCTTATATTACACATAGCTGTCCTTAAGGTCCACCATGAAACCTTAAAGCCACTGTTTTGTTTATCGCTCAGATTTTTATGTTAGGCACATTCCCCTGCCTGTCTCTGACTGACCAGATGCACTCTGCTCAAATGAAATATTTCTACCGAGAGCCTGGCGGGCACAGCATTGCGTGTTTTTGATTTTAGGCACACATCCGTGTAGCCAAAGGACAGTTTTTCTGCTGCAGGGACACATGGTCCTTGTGGGGTGACTGCAGACAAAGTTCTGCTTTCATAATGAATGTCGCAGAAACACCCGGGCCCGGCTCAGGGTTCGAGACAGTTGTCACGGAGATAGCCAGGCCCGGCTCAGGGTTCGAGGAGGCTGTCGGGGAAATGGCCTGTCGGAGCTCAGGGTTCGAGACGGTTTTCACAGGCACAGACCAGTCTGACCCAGGGTTCAAGGTGGATGTCATAGACACAGCCCGGCCCGGCCCGGCACAGGGTTCGAGATGGGTACCACAAACACAGGTCAGCCCAGTCAGAGTCACAACGTGATCCACTTGTTCATAGTATAGACATCCCCGGAATTGTCCTTCATTAAATACATTAGTGAATACTTTAGATGGAGGCAGCCGAACGCTTCCTCTGTAACGGTATATTGATAGATGCATGAATTCTATTACTATTATTGAATTCTCTTTTATTGTTTCCAAGTTCAAAGAGCTTACATCACACAAGAACATTAAAACAACAATGACAT